CTGGGCCATGTCCCCATGGTTGTCATGACTAAGGGTGTTCCTGACATAGAGTGGCTGGGGGCCAGGGATGCTGCACAACCCCCCACAGTGCACAGGACTGCCCCCCACAGAGAACGATAGGGCACCAGATAGTGCTGAGAAGGACGGACCCTGAGGAGGACAGAATAAAAAAGGCCACTATCTCACATTCTGGAATGAGTCAAATGTGAAGATGCATCATCGGGCCACTCCCTCCTCCCTCCCTCATGGTGCAGGCAAAGAATGGGTACCCACAGGGAACATGGAAGATCGCCCAGATGCTGTAGCTGGTTAAGTCTATTCCAACTGAGAGGTCTATTATTCCTTTTTAATAAAACAAAAGGGGGCGGGGGTAGGAGATAAGTGAGTATTGTGTTGTCTCTAATCTAAAGGATAAAAATAATTAATTTCTGGGCACTCTGGGGCCCTTGAGGAGATGGCCCCAGCACCTTCAATTCTGTTGCTGTCAGATAATTTTCCATCATCTGTACAAAGATGAAGTTACTCTTTTTAAAATGGCCTTTTATCGCTTACACAAAGACAGTAAAAGTTAACCCCAATCTGAAGCATCTTTGGGGGATTACTGTCCCCCCCAAATGGGGAAATGAAACATTCTGTCCCTTCTGGGAAGACGCCAGCAGACTGGAAGGACTAACTCTGGCACCAAGGCTGTGATGATTAATGCAGTATCCCCAGTCTACAATGCTGCTTTCACTTAATTACCGCCTGTAATTGGGAGTTGTAAAGATAAGATTAATTGAGTCTGGTGGATGTTAAAAGTTTAATACATTGGAACGTGGCTCCTCTGTTATCAGAAAGTACAGACGGCAGGACACTAGGCTGAGCTTTCAGGAGAGCAGCCCCTGGGGAGATTAGAAAGACTCCAGGAAGGGAAGCCGGCGCCATGGGGCCTGCTGGCTCCAATGTCCCAGAGCCAGTAGTGCCTCCCACCATTTGGACCAATTCAGTGGCAACTTCGGTGATGCCAAGAAGCCCCACTGCCAATGACACGCCATGCCAGCCCAAGCCCCAGGGACATGGCAAGATGAAAACCTCAGTTTTCAGAGGAAGGCAGGTACAACTGGGGCAAGGGTTCTTAACAATACAGAGCACTGAAGATGAGCCGGTCGAAGGAGGAGGGGGAGGGGGACAGTAAAGACTCCATAGCCACTGGACCACGGCCGAGTCCTGCGGCCTTCCAATGGCTGGAACAAACTCCGGAACTGTGGGCCACAAGTTCTCACTGGGCCCTCTCCCACCAGGTTTGACCTTTTGGGGGCCCCGGTGAGCCCGATGACATAGGGGCCCCAGTGAGCCAGTCACAGAGCTGCCTTCCAACAGGGACTGACATTTGCCACTGGAGAGAAGTCCCCAGTACCCTGTGGGGACCCCAGAGCCTTGTGGGGCTCCCACCTGGGGCCCCCAAGAAGCCCTGTGCACGGTATCCTTGTCACAGTCCCACCCAGTCTCATGCCCAGATCAGGGCATCCAGACTCTCAGGTTTGGCTCTGGAAGGAAAAAAAAGGGAAAGAAGGAGAAGCAGCTATTGGAGCTGAGCGAGTGTGTTCGCTAACCCTCACGGCAGGGAGCATCTGTCTGGACATTAGTGAGCGAGTTCTCGGGACCATAAAACGGAGTCAGTATATTGGTCACCAACATGGGGGCAGTTTGTCTCACTCCCCAAGAGATCTGTCCCCATCACAAGGTCACACCTCAGGGCCAAACCAATCAGTTTTGCCAGCTGCAACCCCAGGCAGCCTCTCTCTATATGTGACAGCAGGTTCTTATGTGGTTTCCTTGGACAGAAGGCCATGGGAGCTCTGGCCTCGCCTGTCCTGACTACCTGTTTGTCTCAGGACTGGGCTAGGGCGGAGTCTCCAGCCTCTCTACCTCTTCCAGCTCAGCCCCAATGCTGCTCAGAACCTCTCCTGGCTCCCCAAGCCCACTCTCCACCAGCACAAGCGCTCTTCCCCAGCCTCTCCAGCGAGGCTGGTACCCCTCATGCCCTGCTACACATAGGCCCTCATGCGTCCTCCAGGACTGGCCACGTGCTTCAGTCAACCTGCTTCCCCTTCCAGGACAAGTAGCATCTAGTGGGCCCTCCTGGGCAGTCAACTCTCTAGGCCAGTGGGAGGGCATGGAGAGACTGCGGCCCAGCACAGAGTCATGCTGGCACAATCTGGAGATGTGAGGAGAAAGGAACAGGGCAGAGTGCAAGGGAGAAGCGAGCAGGGGCTTTAGAGGTAGAGGCAGAAATAGAGGGAGGTTCAGGCTACCTGTGCAGCGTCACCCAGGTCCCTCCGGCCACAGTCCCCAGCCCTGCCTGTGGGAGCCTGGCTCTAAGACAGTGGCTGAGGGCAGTCACAGCAGGCACCTCCTAGAGGACACGTTGGCTACCACTTTGGACACAAGGCAAGTCCCAGCCCTGAGGTCAGCCAGGCCAGAATTGCCCTTCCGGAACTTTCTCCAGAGCTATCCCCCATCCACCTGCGTTTTTATCTCCGTATTTTAAAACCCCTCCCTACTTTCTCTCTGCTTTTAAAGCTTTTTTGACACAAAGTACATCTGGACCACTCTAAACCAGAACGTCACAGAAAATTTGGTTCATATCTTCAGCTGCATGGTCGGAACGGTATCCTGGCAACCAGTCAGGTAACCCTGCAGGGGCTGCAGCAGGACTTGACAGGCTCCATAACCCTGCTTTAATGTCGTGGAAGCACGGAAGAGGCCAAGAGAGACAAACCGGGCGTTGTTTGCCAGACACCGTTGTCAGAGAGGCAGCTGTCTGCAAATAGCAGGGGCTTCGGTGAGAAAATAACATGTTTTTAGACTAGGAATAAAGCTCACGGGATGCAACAGGAAATAGAGGAGCCCAGAAACCAGGTCCCCATGGGGACTCAAGGCCCCCCCAAAAGCCACATGATGGTTAAGAAACAACAGTTCAGCAGTTTCACAGTTCAAACGATGGACCAACCAACAGACCCACCTACATGTTTGAGAGTCTGACCCGTTTACTGGGGTTCGGGAACATATTAGAAAGACTGGACATGGAGAGGAGCGTCATTTGGCCCAATGTTCCTGGTTTAACCCTGAGGCCAGAGGATAAGACCTCTCGCCAGGCCCTGCTGAGGCCAGGCCTGAGTCCAGGCCAGTGGCTGGGGGACACCTCGAGGCCCTGTACCTTAGGGGCTTCTGCCAGTGCAGGTCATGGCAGACTCCAGGGGACCAATAAAGAAATTCCAGGGCTTGTGACATTGGGTGCGTCATGGGTGCTGGGTAGGTGGAGGCCTCAGCAGGTTGGCCAGGTGGCTCTTGACGGAGCCAGGTGATTACAAGGAAACGTGTCCTCTGCGGGCAGGGCTGCTCGCCTCAGCCAGGGGACAGGCAGCCTCCATTTCACCAACACGGCCGGGGAAGTCTCCTGTCCGCCAAGGAGGATGCTATTAATAGTGTCATTTTCTCGGTGTTTTGTTTATTCCCCTGGAATGGCTTGATGGATGTGAATAATTATCAGACTATAAAAGCCAGCAAATGTGCTACTTTCTATCGCTCTAAATCATCAAACAAATAAAGTGTGAAACAGCATTTTTGAATATAATTTTCCCCTCTAATGGCTTAGAATTATTATCAAGAACAATGAAAATAAATAAGCAAATGCCTTGTGAGTTAAAAATTAAATGAGTGTGTCAGGAAGAGGAACACAGAGCATCTTGGAGAGCAGGGACCTGCTCGGGGGCCATTAGTTATGAGGACGTGCGACAGGGCCTCACAGGACCAATTGGCTCTCAGCATGGACTCCCACCATCCTCTGTATCCACCAGGAGTAGGCGCTTGGAGCCATCTGCCTGGATGGGTGATGTGATGCCCCAAGAGAGGGCTACACTCGGGTGCATGCACCACAGTACCTGTCACCCAGCTGACCCCCAGCAGTCCCAGGATCCTGTGTGTCATTGCCCTAGGACAGCCATACAAAACCCAAAAAGCGAGGGTGGTTGGCCTCTGCCCCTCCTCTCCTGGGCCATGGACAGGCAATGCCAGAGGGGCTG